ATTTGTTTTGATTTTATTATTATTTTACGATGCTAGAAATTGAGCTGAGCTACACTCTTTTTTTTTGGTCCGTCATGGGGCTTGAACTCTAGGCCTGAGCACTGTCCCTCAGGTCTTCAGCTCAAGGCTAGCGCTCTACTACTTGAACCACCACCAGTTTTCTGGTGGTTTATTGGCAATAAGAGTCTCACGGATTTTCCTGCCTGGGCTGGCTTTGAACTGCGATCCTCAGATCTCAGCCTCCTGAGTAGCTAGGATTACAGGTGTGTGCCACCACCACCTGGCACTGACCTACACTCTTAAGTCCCAAATTTTGAAAATTCTATAACCCTACTTGCTTCTCCACAAGCTTCTAGAAATCCGCTAGTTGGGCCAGGTGCTGGTAGCTCATGCCTGCAATCCTACTCAGGAGACTGAGAGCTGAGGACCACTATTCAAAGTCAGCCCAGACAGAAAAGTCCCTGTGGATTCTTAACTCCAATTAACTACTCAAAAAACCTGAAGTGGAGCTATGGCTCAAAGTGGTGGAGCACTAGCCTTAAGCAAAAAAGTTCAGGGACACTTTCCAGGCCTTGAGTTCAAGCCCAGAAATGACAAGGAAGAAAGGAAGGAAGGAAGGAAGGAAGGAAGGAAGAAAGAAAGAAAGAAAGAAAGAAGGAAGGAAGGAAGGAAGGAAAAAAGAAAGAAGAAGAAAGAAAGGAAGGAAAAAAGAAAGAAGAAGAAAGAAAGGAAAGAAAAGGAAGGAAGGAAGGAAGGAAGGAGGGAAGGAAAGAAGGAAAGAAAGAAAAAAGAAATATGCTAGTGGTGTGTTATACACTGCTTATTCCTGAATAAACCCATTCTGGAGGTGTGTCTCAGTGGTAGAGTGCCTGTCTAGCAAGGGAAAAGCCCTGAATTCAAATTCCAGTACTACCAAAAACAACACAAAAAAACCTGAAACCTTCAGTCTGGTTATTACTGGCAACTATATTTCTATGAGGTTTCTAAGGCCCTAAGATTCAGTAGAAGATGCAGTTTTGTCTAATTTCTATGTTTCTTATTCTAATGAAAACTATATATAGTTGTATCTTTTCTCTTTTTCTTTCTCACTTGGAAGACATATTGAAAAGACAATATGTATTAACAAATTACTAAATTGTTTCTAATGAATGAGATCATTTGGGTATAGCAATTAGAAGGCTAGAGTTTGGGTATTTACAAGGTACAAAGGTGTAAATTAGCTAAATTATAATTCTAAAGTACATGTACTTTTGAAATATATATCAAGAAATGTCTCTAAAATTTTGTTACCAGAAATTCTGATATATATCAGAAATTTATATCCAAAATTTTGAATTTTCTGTTTATTATATATCTTATATGCTAATATTAAATTATCATTTTCTTGCCACTAGGAAGATCTTATTGGCCAAAATTTTAAATGTTCTTATGTGGAAACTTAGAACAATACATAACAGTACACATGAAAAGAAAGTGGCACCTGGGATGAAGTTGAGGTGGAGAATTGTCAAGTCTCTCTGAAGTCTGACAACATGATGGTATCTTGGGTCGCTTCAAGAGTTACGGAAGACTGTTATACATTTTTAGAATTTATTGTATTATAAAATAATTTACTAGTATTTTTACAAACTGTATATTCAAGAGAGGTAGCCATTAGACAAAGAAATAGTTGACTGTGAAAAGCTGTTAGAATAAGCATTTCATGTCTCTGATTTTCATTATATAAATACATCAGACCATTTGATAAGAATATTTCAACTTTTGGTTCTATGCATTTTATTAATTTTATTAATACCCTAGCCATTCCTGAGCAGAGAAAATGTTCGCTGATGGAGCATACCTCTGATATGGCAGGACTAGGCAATTTGTATCTGTGTTTAGTTTACTTAATGATATTACCCTCTAAATAATGATATAATAGCCTTATCATGTTTATTTTCTTCTTTTAAAAACTGAACTTATGCAGGGTGCTGGTGGCTCACGCCTGTAATCCTAGCTGTGGATCACTGTTCAAAGCCAGTCTGGGCAGTAAAGTCTATGAGACTTATCTCCAATAAACCACTAGAAAACCAAAAGTGGCACTGTAGCTCACGTGGTGAACACTCCTCTTGAGGTGAAGAGTGCAGGGACAGCGCCCAGGTGCAGAGTTCAAGCCCCACGACTGACAAAAAAAAAGAAGATTTGAGGTAGCTGGGTTCTGGTGGTTTATGCCTATAATCTTAGCTAATCAGGAGGATGAGATCTGAGAATCACGGTACAAAACCAGCCAGGCAGGAAAGTCCATAAGATTCTTATCTCCAATTAAACACCAAAAAGCGGGAAGTGGGATTGGAGCTCAAGGGCTATAGCTCTAGCATTGAGCAGAAAAACTCAGTGACAGCATCCAAGCCCCAGGGCTAGCACCAAAAAATAATAATAATAAAATAAAAAGATTTTAAGTAGTGCCTTACAGACAGCAGTAGTGGGGGGTGAGGGTGATAATTGATTTGAATCTAGACTTATTCTACTACTGAGCTATGACTCCTTTCTTTCCCTTCCTTCCTTTATTCTGGTTACTTTAAAAAAAAAATTTTTTTTTTGTGCCAGTCCTGGGGCTTGAACTCAGGGCCTGGGTGCTATCCCTGAGCTTTTTTGCCCAAGGCTAGCACTCTAGCCACAGCTGTGCTTTCAGCTTTTTTAGTAGTTAATTCATAGTTAAACTGAAGATAAAAAGACTTTTCTGTCCAGGCTGGCTTCAAACTGTGATCCCCAGATCTTAGCCTTCTGAGTAGTTAGTATTACAGGTATGAGCTACCAGCACCCAGCCTATCCTGGTTACATTTGAAGTAGTAAGTATCACTTCTTGCTTGGGTGCATGCTTGGGCTGTGATCCACCTATTTTAAGCTTCCTATATTAGCTGGGAATACAAGTATACACTGTAGAGAAGCCACATCTTGAGAGGTAGAATCGGAAGTCTTTATTGAAGAGCCAACAACAGCATGTGGACTCCTGTCTCAAAGACCTGCAGCCCAGAATGTGACTTGCACAAAGCTTTTAAAGGCAAAAATCTCATGCTGGCAGTGGTAAACGGTCAAGGGCAAGCATGCTCTGGAGCAAAACTTTCCTGGAGCTAAACAGCATGACATCTGCATATTTTCTAAAGTAGAGCTCTTCTAGCTCTCAAGGAGCTAAGCATCTGCAATTCAATGAATGGCTTATCTCATCTCTAGACTGAGTGAAAAGCCCCACCATCCAGCAAGGCTCCAAGATGGCTGTGAGGACAAGACTCAGTATCCTTATTTCAACATTACCACATTCAACTTCTTCCATTGAGATGGAAGTGTGCGGATTTTTCTACCAGGGTTGGTCTGGAACCTGGAACTGTGATGCTTCCAATGCCATGGCTGCGATGGCAAGCAGACCACTGGCACTTAAGTTAGAAAGCATTAGTTCTTGAAATCCTATGTAGCTACTAATTATTTTTTGTCTTAATGTATGTCTCTCTTTCATTTTTAAAAATGAGAAAGGTCCTTTGGGAGAATTAATGTATTGCTAAGGAGTTCCAATGACCCAGTTGAATTATAAAACATTAACTTGTAAATCAGCAGTTCTTACAATTAACACTGAGTGAAAAGTACATGGTAAGGGGACTCAGATTTAGAGGACACGCACGCATACACACATGTATACGTGCACATACACAGAAGACAGTAAGTGAAAAGGGGAGGTCTACTGAGGTGGTGTTTTGAACCATTAGAACTATTCTTACAAGAGGAAGCCTAGTAAAGCTACCAGCACAACTGTTTATCGCAGCATTGTTCACCATAGCTAAGATGTGGAACCAACCCAGATTCCCCTCAGTAGACGAATGGATCAAGAAAATCTATGCCTTCATTAGAAAGAATGACACCCCTCCGCCATTTGTTAGGAAATAGAAAGACCTGGAAAAAGATATTAAATGAAGTAAGCCAGGCCCAAAGAAATATGGTCCTATGGTTTCCCTTATTTGAAATAACTAGTATATGTCTAGGACAAGCATAAAAGGTCAAAAGCTATGTACATATGACCATATAAGATGATGCTAAGTGAAATGAACCCCAGTATAGGGACATGAGGTTTTATCTTTGTTGCTGTTGTTTTTAATGTACTATGTGATTTTTGTTTGTTTGTTTCTATATTCTCTCCCCATGGTATAACCCCTGCTTTCACTGTTTTTGATTTGGTGCCCTGCATCTTGTGTATACATTTTTCTAATTTGGGGAGGGAAAGGGAAATAACAAAATGCTGAAACAAGGATAGAGATTGAGCCATTGTAACAATGAGGTGTACAAGACACATGTTGCAAACTAACTTTACAACTTGGGGGAGCGGGTTGTTGCAGAGATCAGTGGGAAGGGATGGTAGGAGAAAAACAAAGGAGGGGGTAACAATGTTCAACAGGAAATGTACTCATTACCTTACTCATGTAACTATAACCGTTCTGTACAGTATCTTTACAAAAAAAAATTATATATTTTTTGATCCGGTCGTGGGGCCTGAACTCTGGGCCTGGGCGCTGTCCCTCAGCTCTTCAGCTCAAGGCTAGCACTCTACCACTTGAGCCACAGCGCCACTTCCGGCTTTTTTCTTTTTGCTTATGTGGTGCTGAGGAATTGAACCCAGGGCCTCAGGCATGCAAGGCAAGCGCTCTACCACTGAGCCACCTCCCCAGCCCCTAAAAAATATTTTAAAAGAAAAGGAAGCCTAGATACATTTCAGTCTGAAAACTAAGACAAAGAAAAAATCTGGAAAGCACACAGGAAAAGCAATGCCTTATGTATGAACAAATAATAGTTCACATGCCAGCACTTTTTCATCAGAAAACATAGATGCCAGAAGACAGTATAACATCATCTTAAATGCTGCAACAATATATCAGTCAGCCCTGAATTCTGTGTCCAGTGGAAGTGTCCTTCAGGAATGATGGCAAAATTAAGACCTTTTTATAAATGGAAAACTAAGAGAAATTTGTCTTCAGCAGACCTGTACTACAAGAAATGATGAAGTTCTTCAAGTGAAAAAGAAAAGATACTAGCAGACTATTTGGATCTTCAGGAGCAATGAAGGACATCCAAAATGGTAAATATCTGGATAAAAATAAAATACTTTTTAATTTCTTAAGTACTTGAAAAGATCTCAGGATGTTTAAAGCAAAAAGGATAACTTTGGCCGGGTGCCAGTGGCTCATGCCTGTAATCCTAGCTACTCAGGAGGCTGAGATCTGAGGATCACGGTTCAAAGCCAGCCCAGGCAGCAAAGTCCATGAAACTCTTATCTCCAGTAAACACTCAGAAAATTGGAAGTGGCACTGTAGCCCAAGTGGTAGAGCACTCATCTTGAGCTGAAGAGCTAAGGGACAGTGCTCAGGCCCAGAGTTCAAGCTCCATAACCGACAAAAAAAGAAAAAAGTATAACTTTGCCCTTCAGTGTATTTATTTTCTAAATATAGAATAAAATGAATGTATAAAATATAAAATTATGAGCAACTATGACATGTAAAAAACAGTGACTAAAGAAACTTATATGAAAGAGTCCTTATTCTGAAGAAATCAAGAGGAAAACTATAAAATACTTAGGAGTAAAGACAAGAAGAATATAGCAAGCATTTCAAAATCTGGGGAAGCAAATAAAGCTGTACTTACAAAATAATAGCTTTTCTCTCTTTTTTTTTCCTAGTGGAAATGGAATTACAATTCAGGGCCTTGTGTGTTTACAATTTGCACTGCTGTCACTTTACCACTTGAGCAATGCATCCAGTCCTGCTTTTTGCTGGGTATTTGGTTTGGTTTGGTTTTAGATGAGCCTCCATCATGAGGCAGAGTGTGATGACTTCTGTCCTGGCTGACCTTGAACCTCAGTCCTCTGGATCTCAGCCTCCTGAGTAGCTACAATTACAAGCGTAAGCTACCAATATTTGTAATATAGAGCTTTAAATTTCTTAGAAAATAAGAGGACTGAGACTTATATATAGTTCAGTAACAAAGTACATGCTTAGCATTTTCTGTTTTGTTTTTTTTTTTGTCGGTCGTGGGGCTTGAACTCTGGGCTTGGGTGCTGTCCCTCAGTTCTTCAGCTCAAGGCTAGCGCTCTACCACTTGAGCTACAGCGCCACTTCCGGTTTTCTGGTGGTTTATTGGAGATAGTAGTCTCACGGTCTCTCTTGCCCGGGCTGGCTTTGAACCGCGATCCTCAGATCTCAGCCTCGTGAGTAGCTAGGATTACAGGTGTGAGCCACCAGCGCCCGGCTATGCTTAGCATTTTCAAGGCTCTGGGTCTTAGCACTGAAAAGAAATACAAGGAAGGGAGAGAGAAAAGTTCTTCATTAAGAAGCTACAGTAAAAAAAATAAGCACAAAATAAAATGAAGACTTTAGAACAGAAATCAGCCACACCAAAAACAAAAAACAGACAAAATTGACAAGCCAAATCTGATTCTTTGAAAAGATAAATAAAATTAACATATGCTAAACTTGATACAAAAACCTCTAATCCTAGCACTTGGGAATCTGAGGCAGGAAGATCTCAAGTCTAATTCCAACTTGGGCTACCTAATAAGAACTTTGTCTCAAAATAAGCAACAAAAAGTCTTAACAGAAGACTTATCAAAACTGACTCAATCAAAATCTCAAATGTTCACAAACATTTCTGATAACAGAAGAAAGGAGAATACTTCAAAACATCATCAATTGGGCTGAGAAGTTGGCTCAGTGGTAGAGTGTTTGCCTTGCATGCATGACTGACTCAATCAAAATCTCAAATGTTCACAAACATTTCTGATAACAGAAGAAAAGAGAATACTTCAAAACATCATCAATTGGGCTGGGAAGTTGGCTCAGTGGTAGAGTGCTTGCCTTGCATGCATGAGGCCCTGGGTTTGATTCCTCTGCACCACATAAGCAGAAAACAGCTGAAGTGGCTCTGTGGCTCAAGTGGTAGGGCACTAGCCTTGAGCTGAAGAGCTGAGGGAGAGAGCGCAGGCCCAGAGTTCAAGCTCCCACGACTGACAAAACCGTCATCTATTAGCTCTGAATAGCAAAATGCAAAGCTATTATAGTAAAATCTGACAAAGACATTACCAAAACAGTAATTTTGAATATCCCTAATATCCCTCATGAACATAAAGCAAAAAAAACCATGAAATAACATACTGAATGAAGAAATTCATAAAAAGATATAAGCAAAAAACGATTTATTCTGGAAATACAAGACTATCAACTCTCAATTCTCTATTATTGATTTAAATTCAGTGCACTAACAAACTTCAGACAAAGTTCTTTTTTTTATGTTTTTTTTTTTTATTGTGAAAATACCATACAGAGGGGTTACAATTACATGGGCAAGATAATGAGTACATTTCTTATCAAGCATTGTTGCCTCCTCCTTTGTTTCCCCTTCTCATCCCTTCCCAGCCCGGTGCTGATGGTTCATGCCTGTAATCCTAGCTACTCAGGGGACTGAAATCTGAGGATCATGGTTCAAAGCCAGCCCGGGTAGGAAAGTCTGTGAGACTCTTACCACCAATCAACTACCAAAAAGCCAGAAGTGGATCTGTGGCTCAAGTAAGTGCTAGCCTTGAACAAAAAAGCTTAGGAACTATGCCCAGGCCCCGCATTCAAGCTCCAGGACTGACACCAGACCCAATAACAAAAACAAACAAATACCTAGGAACAAATATAACATAAAACCTCCACTGTTTCCAGCATGAAAAGTTGAAAACACGGAGGAGAAATATTCTTGGGTTGCAACTAAGGATTATTGAAATGCTACTTGTAACCAAATGGATCACTTTAACGAATACAATCTCAGTTAAATCTCCAGCATTTATTTGGGATAACATGATAGCTGATTTTGAATTAATCTGTAAGTTAAGAGATAAAGCACTCAGGATGTCTTGCTTTTGCTGCTTTTTTCACTCAGAGTTGATACTCTACCAATGCCAATCCAGCATTTTGCTGATTAACCAACATAGAGTTCCACTGACATTTCTGCCCAGGCTGCATTCAAATCTCAATTCTTCAGCCTCCTGAGTAGCTATAATTACATTGCTAAGTTAGCAATGTAGTGTTTTTAAATGATGAACAAAATTGGAATGCCTACATTGGTTTCAATACTATAGTTACTATACTAAGTTACTATAATTATTATTACTATTATTATTGTTTTTGTGAAATGATAGGCTTAAGGAACAAAAACTGTAGAATCTTAACACTGGCTCACACATATAATTAATTAATTTTTGTGAAGGACATTAGATAATTCAGTAAGAGAATATTCTTCTCAATAAATGGTGTTGATTAAACTGCCTATCCATATGAGGAAAAAAGTATTAGATTTTGTGTTACAACATGAACAAAATTAAATGAATGTGAACTATACATCTAAAATTAAAATGACAGTATATATCGCTAGGTAAAAACAAGAAAAATCTTTGCCAACTTGAGATGGAAAAAATTACTCAGAGTTTAAAAAATGAACTATGTAAGAGAGTATGTTTTGTTTTGTTTTGTTTTTGGTCCGGTCGTGGGGCCTGAACTCTGGGCCTGGGCGCTGTCCCTCAGCTCTTCAGCTTAAGGCTAGCGCTCTACCACTTGAGCCACAGCGCCACTTCTGGCTTTTTTTTTCTTATGTGGTGCTGAGGAATTGAACCCAGGGCCTCAGGCATGCAAGGCAAGCTCTCTACCACTGAGCCACCTTCTCAGCCCGTTTTGTTTGTTTTTTAAAAAATTAAAATAAAAACTTCTGCTCTGTATGGAGATTCCTCAAAAAATTTAACATGGAAATACCCTATGATCCAGAAATTCCACTCCTGGGATTCCATCCAAAAGATTTAAAACTATGACCCAGTAAAGCCACCTACAAAATCATGTTCGTTGGAGCACTATTTGCCAAGGCAATATATGGAATCAACCGAGATGCACCTCAGTGGACAAAGGGACCAAGAGAACATTCTATATATACATAGTGGACTTTTACTCATCCATTAGAAAGAATGATATTGTACCTTTGTAAAGAAATTGAAAGACCTGGAAAAAATTATGTGAGGTAAGTCTGGTCCAGAGAAGCAAAGTCTGCATGTTTTCTCTTATATGTGGAAGCTAGATTTGGCTTCTAAGCTTGTAAGTAAATATGTTAGATAGTAGGCAAATATATACAAATTTATTAACTGAAATATGATAGATTCAAGGGAAATCTCCAATAGTGTAATTCCTGAGAAAGGCAAAGTCCAAGTTCAACAAAATAAACACCAGGAAGCCTGTATCTCAAAGGTGTAGGGTGTGGTCAAGGGAAAGTAGTAGATGAATGAAGAGGAGAAAGGGGAAAGAATGAAGTCAAGAATTCCATATGTATACTGCAACATAAGAAGAGTAAGGGGACTGGGAAGGTGGCTCAGTGGTAGAGCACTTGCTTTTTTGCATGCCTGAGGCCCTGGGTTCAATTCCTCAGCACCACATAAGCAAAAAGAAAAAAGCCGGAAGTGGCACTGTGGCTCAAGTAGTAGAGAGCTAGCCTTGAGCTGAAGAGCTGAGGGACAGCGCCCAGGCCCAGAGTTCAGGCCCCACCACCAGACCAGAAAAAACAAAAAAACAAAAAAAAAAAAAAGAAGAGTAAGGGAAGAAAGGAATGGGTAGGGGAGGGAGAAGTGACAAGGTTGAAAGGGGTCACATTGATCAAGATACATTGTATTTATAAACTGTTAAATGGCAACACCTTTATATATTACTTAAAGATTTTTTAAATGGAGAAGGAGAGGAGGGGGGGAAGGAGGAGGAAGAAGAGGAGAAGGCAGAGGAGGTGAAGGAGGAGGAGGAAGAAGAAGAAGAAGTAAAAAAAACAGATGGGTACTAGGTGGCTCAGGCCTGCAGTGCCAGCTGCTCAGGAGGCTGAGGTCTGAGAATTGAAATTTGAAGGCAGCCTGGGCAGGAAAGTCTGTGAGACTCTGATCTCCAATTACACACCCAAATAGCTGGAAGGGAAGCTGTGGTTTAAATAGTAGAGTGTTAGCCTTGAGCAAAAATTGCTCAGGGATGGTGCTCAGGCCCAGACTCCAAGCCCTGGTACTGGTACACACACACAGATACA